CATGCTGTCTGACTCTATGACTCTATGTATGTGCAAGATTACATTGGTTCATTTTATTCTGATGATGAGGTCAGTGCAGAAGCCCAGGAATAAGATTCAGGATCAGAGCTGGATCCCCCAGTTGCAGGGTACCGTCAACTACACACACATGGCACTGAGTGGGTTGGAACACTGTGGAGTCCATCAACAGAAAGATTTCCATTCAAATAATATCCAGGCAATCTGTGATCTACAATATTCTTGTGTACCTGGTGCATTTGAGTGTCCAGGAAAATTACAATGTGGGTTGCTGGGGAACCAGGGCTACCCACTGCGACCTTGGCTCATGATTCCATTGTGCAGTTCTCTAAGTATTGTGGGTAAGATAGACTGCTGCCCATGCCTCAACCAGGCCCATGGTGGAGCAGATGATTGTGTTGCTGAGGGTATGGTTCTGCTACTTGGACTAGTCTGAAGGGGTGGCAAGTGCCCAGTGCAAGCTGGACAGAGTGTGCTGCATCATCCTGTCGTGCTGTGCTCTGCACAACTGGAGCAGCCATTGAGGTGATTCGATGGATGCTGAAGAACTGGCAGAACGGGAGCCATCTTCAAAGGAGGAGGAGAGCACATTGGGGTGGAGGAAGGTGTCATCCTTGACAAAGCTCAATACATCAGGTTCTAGAAGTCACACAGAACTGCATTGACACCCACTTCCAATAGATGAGAGCTGGGTACAGTGCACCATCATGGTGATGAAGCCAAAATCTGGTTGGCATTGTGAGCGTGAACTTCAGCCTCTGTTGGTTTTATGTGTCTTCACTTTTGTTGTCTGTAAATAAAAGCTCATGTTTGATTTTGTCTAATTACTTCCATATAAACGATGTTCTCCTATTGATAAGGACATGACAAGTTGCAGATATACAGTGGGCTTGGAGACAGGATAACACTGACTTAGAAGTGTTCAAATGGAATGTAGGTAAGAACAGGTAAACTGTGTAGCAAGGTGGTTAAACTGCAACCAAAGTGAGATAATGGGGTTGTACGCATGAAGGAGAATTAGCAATGTACCATGGCTGATGTGTTATACCATTGCTGGCAAGGGGCACTGCTAGATTGTCAGTGCTTGTTCAGGTGTATGGCAGCTTTTCAAGGATGGCACGAGCACAAGGAGCCTTATGACTGATAACCTGAGTGGTGAGTTGTTCTAACACAAGGTAAGGTAGGGCCAGGATCTGAACATGATGCCATTGGGGTGAAGTGGCTAGCTGATGTGGTAAGTTTGGTAAGATTCTGTGAGAAAACTCTTCTAAGCTTCATGGTCAAAGACTTTCCAAAAACTCAATCCAACTCAGACTTGGCTAAAAAGAATTGTAAGGTTCAGTCTAAAGTTATATTATAGCCGAAGCATTTCATAGTAATCTGAACTACCACCCTGTTTCAATTTTGCTCTTTCAAGACCATAATCTTGTTTTTAGCTTCATTACTCTTTCCACATTGATAGTGTCTAATGTATTTTATGAATGACTTTTGAAACCAATTGTGAAATGACTCATATACTGCAGGTTCATTACATGACAGTTAAATGTCACTTCTCTCTTCACTACACTTTTGTAATCATGTTGTAATATAATGAAAATATCATCACCTTTGTGTGATAAAACAGTATAAGATCATCACAAGACCAAAATAGGCTATTTATCCCATAAAGTCAGCAATAGTTAGTCTCTCCACAAGAGCCATTTAAAACTCCTCACTGCATACATAAGACCATGTATTATTTTTAAGAAATTATCTAATATTTATAATAATTTGTTGTACAGAATATTTGATTTGCCAAAGGTTTACATCTTGCCCTAATTGGGACAGTTTGTAAGGCTACCCATGTAAAGGGAAAACAACGTTTGTACTCTTTGAGAGCAGAATGCTGATTAGTTGGCAAGTGAATGCCATGGACAATAAAAAGTTAATGATGGCTGACAGGTAACTACCAAGCTTTGTTTTCATTTTAAACCAACCAGGTTAACTCTGACTGATCAAGGCATTCCCCGAGAAAGGGACCAGAGAATGTTTATCTCCTAATTGGTTGAGTTGAAATAGGTACAGTTATGTCTTTCTGTCTACAAAGAACAAGACCCTGTGTATTAATATGTGTAGCTTCCGATACATGCAAGTGTGTCATACTGTGAGCCTGACTGATAATCCTAAATAGGATTGATTTGCAGCCCCTGCCTGCCTGGAAAATTTATACCCATCCTTCCAGCCCAACCTAGAAAACTTTAAGGGTGCCCCAAATGCCAGCTCAAAAGACTGTACTAAGTGACCAAGAATTGAGATATATCTTTTATCATGAAGTTTAATGCCCACAGCAAAGAGTTTGGGTTCAAGAAAGACTGGTTGAGGAGAAGGCTTGGTGAAGAACTGTCTTCAGGCTGAGGCTTCTTTATAACACTGCTTTGTATATATGACGACTAAATACTACCAAACATTGTAATCAGGGATATACCAAGCTGTACTCTTACTGTCAAGTTATTGAAAGACTATTCTGTCTGTGTGCTTCTGTTTGTCTCACTCACTCTCTAACTCTGACCACACTGTACCATTTATACCCAGTGGGGGTGGGGGGTGTTCATGACATCATCATAAAGCTGCTCCATGACTCTAAAGCCTTTAACTAACAACCCTCCTGAAGCTTTTGTTTCGTAAAATGTATATACCTTCTCAATTGAGTTACCTAGAATACATTTAACAACATTTACTGTAAATTTTCCTTTACATCTCCCGCCCCTTCCCAAGTCTTTGACTTAATTCATCTGTGTGGATAGGTGGGTCCAGAAAGTCTATGACAAGATATAGAAATGCGTGAGGTAAAGTTGACAATATGAGTGATTTAATTGATCTTGCAGCCTGATCACAAGCCTCGAAAAAGTAGCACTTTCTGAAGGGTCTTGCTTTCATGGAACTGTAAGAATGAATAGGGAGGCTGGGTTGTTTCTTCTGTTTTGCCATTAACATCTGGATCTGGTGATAGTGTCCAATGCTAAAGCTGTTCGAAATCTTAGGAATTGTGCTTTCCATATTTACAAATTCTAGATCTATCAAAAGATCTGATTGTTTGAGTTTATCTGGCGGAAAGATCGCTGCAGGTGAATTTTATTGAATTGGCTGACTGTTGATAGGCACTTGACGTTGTTAATTAGTTTCTTGATTTGGTTAATGATGATTAAGATTTTTATCTCTCACTACACTAATTTTCTTGCCATGTTGTATTCTTTTTTGATCAATATTGTTGAATCTGTTGTTGTAAAGATTATTGATGCAGTACTAAAACTGAAAGCTTTACAGCACTTTACAGCTTCCTGGACTCAACATTGAGTTCAACAACTTCAGACCATGAACTTTGTTTTGTTTCCACGCCTTCTTCTCCCACGTTCACTGGGACCCCACCATGCCTGGGGGTTTTCTTTGTTTTGTTTTAAATTCTGCTATTTAACACCTACTCTTCCACAACCATGACCACCTCCTTTGCCTTTTGTTCTGTGACATCTATGGTTGTTGATCTCCCTCAACCTCTAACCTCCCCCTGGGCTTCCCTTCTGCTCCAGTTTCACCTTGCCATGTATTTCTAGAGTATAAAGCCCATCATCTTTCCACCTCTCTCTTCAATGCTGAAGGAATGTCATGCTGGACTTGAAACATCAATACCATTTCTCTCACCACAGAAACTGCCAAATTTGCTGAATTTCTCCAATACTTTCTGGTTTTATACTAAGTGAAACTACATGTAATTTTTTTTTCACTTTAAAAACAGTGTAGATCACCTTCAACATACCCTGTACTTAAAAATGTGTTTTTTTAAATCAATACAAAAAAGTGAGATATTAGAATTTTTAACAAACCACCCAGAGCGATATTCTGTTGACAGGTAAATGGATTTAATTGGGACTTTTCAATCCCTAACAGCTTCACTAGTGCAAGAAAATAAATGTCTGTTGACTGGAAAATAAATTGATTGCTTGAAGAAATTTTTGTTTCCCTTGGTCAGTAAATAAATTATTTTACCAAGATTTTAAATTATCCGTATGTTTCCCTAAATTGTAATGCTTTTATTTTTTTGTCCACCCCATTGGAAGTTTGTGATGGACTATTCAGTCAAGATGAAGGACTGTGAATGGGTAATAATTTTCCATTGGTAGATAGTTTATTACTTCTGTGAATTTCATCAGTGTAGAATATCATATGATTCCTGCACATTTCTTCAAACAGACTTGAATTTGTGTCATCTAAAAACCTTAGTTCATATATCATCTAAATACATAATAGGGTGGATTGTTCTGTACTCCTGCAGCTTTACTGGAACGAGTGCAGCTCCAATGATATTGAAAAAGTTAGATGCCATCCCAGACAAAGCAGCCTGCTTGATTGGCACCCCATTCTCCACGTTCAACATTTATTCATTCCACCACCAATGGACAGTGGCAGCAGCATTTACCATTTATAAGATGCATAGCAACAACTTACTAAGGCTACTTTGACAATACTTTCTAAACCCAGAGCCTTTATTATCACTTAGAAGGACAAGAACAGCAGATGCATCAGAGCAACACCACCTTCAAGTTCTGAAGCTCACACGCCATCCTGACTTGAAATAAATCACTATTCCTTCATTTTCACTAGATCACTTTTCTTGAACTCCTTTCATAACAGCACTGTGAGTGTAATTACCCTCAATAGACTATAGTGATTCTTGAAGGCAGCTCATTACCACATTCTCAAGGGCAGAAAGGGAGAGATAATGATTACTAGTCTAACCAGCAGTACCTATATCCCATGAATAAGAAAACAAAACATTTATTCTAGAGAGTGTAGGAGCAGTGAAATCCAATTTACCTCAGCTTTTCAATTGGCAAATGATATGTCACAGGAACAATTGGAAGCTGAACAGCATTAGATACTTCTTTCTTGTAACTTCAACATCTAAAGACAAAATCAACAGGAAGACTAACTGCTATCTGTTATTATAGGCGGGGTCCAGTGAAACCAGAGGTCTTGTCAATTAATTGGTCAGGCAAGCGGTCCAGTCGAAGGCTTCAGAGAACTAATAGTCTGTCTCCAAACAATACAAATTTCAGCATCTTGAACTCAGGTACTGTACTGCCAGTTTCAAAGTTTTCTTATTAAGATGGCATGATATAGCTATCCTTTCAAATTACACTCACAAACTTCTTTGTCGGTTTATTGGTTTGTAGTTTAATTGTTAAGCACATATATATAGCAGTGGATGTGATATAATATTGATGCTTATATTAGTGTTATAAGTCTTGCTAAAAATGGCCAATACAGATTGTTTCTAATATTATGAATGTGTTTTTAAATTACTTATGCATATCATTTTTGTTGGACAGTAAATATGTTAAGGGATGACATTTTGCTACTCTGTATGTGCATGAAGTGCCAATTAAAGTCTGTGTTGATCAATAAGAAGAAATGATTTTTTTCTTTAAAATGCTGCCGCAAGGATACTTTAAGCACAGGGGCAAGTAGCCAGCCCATAGATTGGAGCAGGCTGCATTTCAGGGCTCTTTGCTTGTACCTAACCCGGATGCTTGCAGTATCCCTGGCTGCTCTTGCCTTTTTGCACTTATCCCCATTCGGACATAGCTTAAAGGCTGATAGTACTCCTGTATTGCCTTACTGCTTAGTGCTGACATGAAGCCAGGCAGTTTGTCATGATTGTTAGTGTCAGCAATGAAGCACACCTGTAACATGTACAGCTGCATACGTGGCAAACACACTGCATGTGCCTCAAGCACACAGCCGTGTTTCAAAGTCTTAGGGGAGTAATCCTTACTGATGCCAACCGGCTGCAGAGATGTGGCAGTGATGTGCTCACCAATAGGTGCTCCACACTCTAATCTCGCTAAAATACAACACAAGGTGTCAATATCTGAGCTGGTGGAGGATACAAAAGGCTCCTTCCTCAGAGGTGCTGAAGAAGATGTGCAGTGGTGAAACCCCCTTGCCTGCTGAGACGGTGGATATGCCACTAGTACCTACAAGGCATAACAGAGACCAGGCTTTGCTGCCAAGGATTATTACCTGTGAATACAACACGTGTGAATACAATGGGCTTTTCCACTGTGCAAAAAAATCAATTCCAGATACTTATAAACTGAAAACTAGCTAATGCCTTTCAGTATTTTCTGTCTTCAATGATAAAACTCTTCTAATACAAAGAAAATCCTATTATCACTTCACAAACAGCCCTCTCACACATATTGATTTTAAAATCATTGCTCCAGAAAGACTAAGGTATTAAATCTCCTCATATACGTAGACAAAAATAATAAATTGCCAAGAGCTCAAAATCCAAACTCAAAAAAATTGATTTAAATAGATAGAAATCATATACCTTACATCACTATGAGAACTGATATTCAGGGTACATGACTGTTGCACAAGGACAAAGTCAAAAGTCACATGACACCACATTATAGTCCAACAGGTTTATTTGAAATCACAAGCTTTCGGAGTGTAGCCCCATCATCAGGTGAAGTGAGAGTGAAGCACACAGACACAAAATTTATAGGCAGAGAGATCAATGGCAGAGAGATCAAAAGATCATAAAAATGCTGTGAGTACAGTGTTGAATAATAAGTCTGTTTGGGTGATCAAAAATGTCAGATGGTGTGAGTAAAGTGTCAGCAGCTGAATAACAAGCGAAGAGATGATCTATAATCTGGTTAAATGAGGCAGAGAGATGATTATAAAGATTAGAAATAAAATGGTGTTGGAGACAAACCAAATGACTGGAATAACATAATAGGTATAAGAGTTGCAAAATGAGGGTCTAACCAAAGTAAAAACTAATCCAAATATGCACAAACCAATTAAGGTTGAGAGATCATAACAATTTATCAAGGTGATGGTATCAAAACAGGACAGTAAGGAAGATTTTACGGATACAGAACAGTGTGACGGAGTCACATGAAGCACCACATGAACCCAAGATCACTGTTGGGACCGTCTTCATGGTTACAGAACTTGGCTATCAGTTACTGCTTTGCAATTCTGCATTGTTGTGCATCTCGAAGGCTGCCTTGTAGGACCCTTACCTAAAGATGGGAGGCTGAATGACCTCGACCACTGAAGTGTTCCCCGACTGGGAGGGAACATTCCTGCCTGGTGATTGTTGCGTGGTGTCCATTCGTCCATTTTCGTGGCATCTGTATGGTCTCACCAATATACCATGCCTTGGAGCATCCTTGCCTACAATGTATAAAGTCTATGTCTGTGTGCTTCTCTCTCACTTTACCTGACATAGCGGCTATGCTCCGAAAGCTTGTGATTTCAAATAAACCTGTTGGACTATATTGTTGTGTGACTTCTGACTTCGTCCACCCCAGTCCAACACCAGCACCTCCACATCACAGCTACCATTCACATGGACAGGCAGTAATAGAAAGGTGCTGGACTAGCTTTGTTAGTATATAAAGAGAGTGTCTTTTTATTTTTTCCGGATTTTTGAATACGGACTGAAATAGGAAAACAACTGTTTTAAAAACAAAGATTGCTGCAGTACAGCAATTTTTAAAAGTAAGTAACTTGACTCATTGTATGGGCCATTCACACAGCTGCTTGTTTGAGCAATAGTTGAAGTGTAGTTTGTGGATGAGCAAGGGCTGAGGTCTGCATACAACTGGAAAGTCAGCCGGCAGCAAGTTATTCTAGGAAGGGAGTTAACCAACTATAGTCAAAGAAAGATGTTAAGGGTAGTATCAAATTGAAAGAAAGATTACATATGATGTGGCAAACATTAGTAGTCAGCCAAAGAATTTACAGCATGTTAATAAGCAACAGCAGATGAGCAAAAAAAATATAGAGGGAGAGAATAAACTTTGAAGGTAAATTAACAAGGAACATAACATAGACAGTCGGGCTTCTTACATAAACCAAAAAGGAAGAGAGCAGTCAAAGTGAACTCAGGGTCACTTAGCTCAGTTGGCTGAAAAGCAGATTTGCAATGTTGAAAGACACCAAAAGTGCAAGTTCAATTCCCACAATGGCTGAAGTTACCATGAAAGACTCTCCTTCTCAACCTCTCTCCATGCCTGAAGCATGGTGTCCCTCAGAATAAACTATCACTAGTTGTCTCTCTCTAACGAGAGAGCAGTCCTATGGTCCAATGCAACTACGGTGACTTTACCTTAGCTTGTGGGAAAGCCCCAGAGCATTGGACAACTGCCCGTGAGACACCCTTATTCAAAAAGGCAGGGAGGCAAAAAAAGGTAACTATAGACCAATGGCTTAAAATCTGTTACTGGGGAAATGTTAGAGTCTATTATGAAGGATGTAATAGCAGAGCATTTAGAAATACATAATAAAATCAAGCAGAGCCTGTGTGCTTCAGAAGGGGAAATCATCCCTCACAAATTTATTTGAATTCTTTTAGAAGGTAATAAGCAGTTAGATAAAGGAGAAGCATTAGTTGTTAAATATAGATGACTGGATGCTATTGGATGCCAATAAAGTGTTTGCAATGGTACCAGATACTAGAGTACTTAATAAAACAAGGGGCCATGGTGTTAGGGGTAGTATATTAGCATGGATAGAGGATTGGCTAACTAATAGGAGATAGAGAGCTGGAATAAGTTGTGAAGTTTCAGGATGGGACTGGGACCACAATTAATTATACTATATTTAATAATAACTAGGTAGAGAGAAGTGAATGTGCTATTGCCAAGTGTGGGAATGACACAAAAATAGATGGGAAGGCATGACAAAATGAGTCCAAGTGGGATATAGACAGGCTGATTGAGTGGACAAAAAATTAACAGGTGGAATATAATGTGGGAAAATGTGAAGTTATACACTTTGACAGGAAGAATAGAGGAGCTGAATGTTGTTTAAATAGAGAAAGACTGCAGCACAGAGGGATTAGGGGACCACATGCATGAAACACAGACAGCTAGCACACAAGTTACACAGGTAATAGGGAAGGCAAATAGAATGTTGGTCTTTATTTCAAAGGGAATGGTGTATAAAAATAGAGAGATCTTGCTAAAATTATACAGAGCTTTTGTTAGACCACACCTAGAATATTGTAAAAAGTTTTGGTCCCCTTCATTAAGGAAGTATTTGCTGGCATTGGAGGCAGTCCAGAGAAAGTTCACTGGGTATGGAGAGGGTGTCTTCTAATGAGGAGAGGTTGCGTAGATTGGACCAGTATGCCTTGAGTTTACAATAATGAGAGGTGACCTTCTTGAAGCATATAAAATTCTTAGGGGACTTGGTAGGTAAGATGCTGAGAAGTTCTTTCCCATTGTGGGAGAGTCCAGGACCAGAGGGCAAAAGCTAAGAGAAAGGGGCCACCCATTGAGGAAGAGTTCCTTTTCCCAGAAGGAACAAATTTGTGGAATTCCTTACCAGAGAGAGCTGTTGAGGCTTGGTTCTTAGATACATTCAAGGCTCCTTGAATTAAAAAAAAGGCAGAGATGCTTGGGAAGGACTTCCAAACAAGGGCCTTAGCAGAAGAAGGCATGATCACTAATAATGGAGTGATGAAAATTGTGATGTTACAGAAGCTAAAATAAGAGCAGCATAGATAATTTGCCAGGTAGACTAATTAAATGTGAAAAAAAAATCTTTTTGTCTGCCATTTGATTGGTGCCTGAAATTTTCAGTAACAATGTGAACTTGCATAAAATTACATATTTGTCAGCAAGGCTGAAGTAGATCCCAGAGATACAGAGGGAATTATTATCTTGCCAGTCAGGCTGTTTGCAGAAGTGGAAGTGGCACTGTGAGCTCAAGGCAGAATCTATATTGATATTAAGGCCGAGTAAATGTAGGCATTTGATATTATATGTTGGTCATGACCCTGCATGGCTGGGCCATTGGGACAGCAAGCGGAAGTGGTCTTATGGTCTCATAATTTCCAGAAGGGAAAATTGTGCTATTACATTTTTCTGAATTCGCTCATTATCATTTTAAATGCATATAGATTTATTTTCTCTTATTTTGGTTCCTGAAGCCATCCATGCAGATGAGGACTTCCAGTGGATGACCCAGATAAACAGGCTTCAGAAGCTAATTGACCGCCTGGAGAAGAAGGTATGCATTTACTTAAACTGTTGGCAGTCAGTGATAGGGCAACTTTACAACAGAAAATATGCAACTCATTATTTAAAGCCAGAAAAAACACAAATCTGATCACATTTGTCAATTATACTTACCATCGCTCTTCTGTGAGAAAGCAGAGAGAATTTATTAATTATGTTCTGTGTACAGAATGCATTCTGCGTATATACAACATTTACTTCTTGTCATACTGTCACATTATTTTTGTGCTTCCTGTTTCTTCTGTTTATTATTGTTTGCCTCACCTTTCCCAACATTTTTTAAATTTCAAATTGTTTGCAAACTGATGCTCATAACTAGTTGAGCTTCTTGCCAGTGAGTTGAGTGATATCAAATTTTATGTCAAATTTCTTCTTAGCTGATTATGTAACGTGCAAATTTATTCATTCAAATTCACTCATATTAATTTTAGAAAATCCCAAAAGCAAACCAAGTAGACTAATTAATGCCAAAAATATTTTTTGTTTGCTATTTTATTGGTACCTGAAATTTTCAGTTGCAATGTGAACCTGTGGCAAAATTACATATTACATGTTATAAAATTTACTTTGAGTTTATGCACCACATTAAAATTTAAACTTCAGAATCTCATTTTAGGTATTTCTTCCTAGGACAGTTAAAGGAGATTAGCCTCGAGAGTGCAGTCTCAATTCTTCAGAGCGTATCAGTAGATTTCTTTGAAATGAAAAGGTTTAATTTTTCCTTCAGCTCATGAATATAATGGAGTTAGTTTATTTTCTCAAGTACTTTAAAGCAAACAGGATCAGATTTTTAAACCTCAAATTGAATACATAGAGATCCCTCAGCTGACAAAATCTTTTTACTTTTTAATTCAAACAAAAATTGCAATTAGCAGAACATGTCCATACATTGTTGGCATAAAATAAAGGTAATTTTATTTTTAAAATTACTTCAATTAGCTAGAATATGAATTTGTATTGTGGGGTTCTGCCATAACACGTGTTCCAACAACACAAATTGGCTATAACGCAACTGACGAATAGGGGAATGCTATTTCTAAAAAGTGAAATTGTGTTGGCTATAATGCGATTCCAACAATGCGTGGTGGAGTATATGTCAACATCACATGATCGTTTTGCGGGCTTTGTTGTTCAATTTTGGAAGAAATTTAACATCAAGATAGCAATTGACATTGTTGTGGAGGCCTGGGGTGATGTCAGGAAGGATGGCTTGCATGTAGTGTGGCAGAAGCTTCTCCCAGATCTTTTTCAAGATTTTCAAACCTTTGATCCGTCAGAGGAGCTTCCAAGAATCAAAGAACATTGTGTTGATCTTGCAAAGCAAGTTGGATTTGAAGGAGTGGAGAGTGAGGATGTTGAAGAGCTGCTTGAGTCCCACTGTGAAGACCTCTCTACAGCTGATCTACAACAACTTGTCCCTGAGGGGGAAGTGGAAGCTGGAGATGAAGAAGGTGAAGTCCAGGATGCAGCACCACGAGAGCTTTCCACTTCTGTTTTGTCTTCTATCCTGAGGGAAATTGAGAAGCAGTTGCAGCTCTTAGAGGACAACAATTACAATGCAGAATGCAGCAGGGTAGTAGTTCGTGGAATAAGATCTTATTTGGCACCCTATAAACAGCTTCTTCATAAAAGAAGAAAAAAGGCAAAGCAGCAAAAACTGGATGTCCTTTTTAAACCAACCCCCAAGAAACAGTCAGAAGACAATGAACCACAGCCATCCACGTCTGGATTAACTATTTTTTGCTCTGACCCTGCAAACACAACTGCACCTGAAGGTGATGACGATGATGCCCTTCAGTCCCTGCATTAACAACAGAGGAACCTCAAAATCTCCTTCCCCATCAACTCATCTTGATATTTTTCAAGGTAGGGTGTTAGATTTACTTTTATTTCATTATTAGATATGAATTAAACATTTATTCAACCTGTGCTATCATTTGTATTAGGCTTTTAGGTGATTTTTGAGCGATTTTGAGTGATATTTTTTGATGGTGTGTCCCTAACCCCACTTTTCCCATAGGCCTCATTATTTCTATAGCGCAAATTTCCGTAACACGATGTTGCGCAGGAAGGCGACTATCGTGTTGTAGCAGAACCTCCTGTATTAGATTCCTCCTTAGATGTAATGCTGATCAGGTGAATTGTTTACCTGGATTTCATCAAACTCCTTTGAGCTTTGTTGCAGTTGATTATCCAGCCTATGGAGACTATTCCATCACACTCCTGGCTTATACCCTATAGGTGGCAGAGGGGCTTTATACAGGCATGCATTGCCCTCCTAGCTGAGGAATTACAAATGGAGTAGTCAAAGGTTGGCACTCCTGAGGAGCAAGGCTTGGGTCTCAGCTGATTAGCCTGAAACAACCATAAATACTCATTTTGGTGCAAAGTATGACTCTAGTGGAATGGATCTGTTAACTCGCAGCAGGAATTCACCTTCAGATACGCCTAAATAAAGCTGCAATAAGATCCAGAGTCAAGTGAGTCTGACATAACCCAAATTGAATTTCCATGATAACAAGAACAGAAAGTGATGCAAATTCCAGAAGGCCTGCCAGCATCTGTGAAGCAGCAGTTAATGTTTCAGATCAAAGACCTTTCATCAGAACTTGTAAAGGTCAGAAATAAAGGGCTGCATCTTACAAGGAATGATAATTATAATCAGGTTGCCACTTAGCTCCTACCCTTCTCACATTAAGAAAGAGCTCTATATTTCTGACAGGAGATTCCAATAATGACTCCTCCAGCCATAAGGAGTGTGCCTTAAATTAAACAAGTCCTTCAGTGCAAGATATTTGGGAGGCAGTGGTGTAACCCCACTTTTGCACAGAAGTAGTTGTTGTATTCAATGACTTAAATGTCCAGAAGCATAGGCAGCCACGTCGATGGCTCATGAGAAAGGACAGATATGTAGCAAGTGTGAAATTAGGATTCCACATAAGCAAGGTTCTGCATAAGAGATGGAGTACTTAAAGTAGGACGGGGTCTGAAGGAAGTGTATTTAGGCAGTGGGGCAGCAGCATGGATTAGTAGTTACTTAGGAGCTGGTCAAGATTTTTAATTGTCTAACTTTTCTTGAGTAACTATTAACTGCAGCAGAACATTTCCAATTCTCTGATTTAAATGGATACTTTCAGCGGAGAAATGTCCCTCAGAATCTTCAAATTCCCAAGCAATCCTCTCAGAGTCTGCAATGTTGGGGATACCACAGGGTCCCAATGTGCAATTGCCACCTGCACTGCAGGAATGGCTACTTGGCCAATATTTCAATAATGAAGCCTGTTCAAGTTAATATTCCAATAAAGTTGTTTGTCTCATTTTTATTTGCTATTTACAATGCAGTACTGGATGGCAGGTTTTCCTATAAGCTGTAACTTTCAGGTACCACAAGCGCAGATGATATACTATCATTAGCTGTTGTTGTCTAAAAACTTCAAGAAAGTCAGGGGTCAGAAATGAGTGTAATGGCCATCATTAAGGAAATAATGCTGGGGAATCTGAAGGGTCTTGAAATAACTGCACAGAGGCCAATATCCTGTCACTCATCACTCTTTATTTACATGTGCACGACAGAAGGTCTCTGACCAACCAGCTCAGAGCCAGTCCCAAGAATGAGGAGACTCTCTAAAACTCCTGTTTATATCTGTCAGCCAGGGCTCCCTGATTGGCACGGGTTAACAACCTCAATCAAGGATCTCATAGCCAATGAGATCCACCTGGCTCTCGTTCCAATCACTACAGGTCTAAAGGCAGATAAATCACCCAGACTGGATGGACTAACCCCATGGTCTTGAAGGAGATAACTGAGGAGATTGTAAAGGCATTGATGATGACCTCTCAGGAATCACTGGAGTCAGGGATGGTCTCAGAGGGCTAATATAACACCCTGTTTAATAAGGGAGAGAGGCAGAAGACAGGAAACTATAGGCCGGTTAGCCTGACTTCAGTCGCTGGTAATATTTTAGAGTCCATTATAAAGGATGAGATTGCAGAATACTTGGAAATGCATAGTAAAATAGGGCTGAGTCAGCACGGCTTCATTATGGGGAAGTCATTTCTGACAAATCTGTCAGAATTCTTTGAGAAGGTAACAAGAAGTTTAGAAAAAAGAAGAGCCAGTGATCTATTTGGATTTCCAGCAGGCCTTTGACAAGGTGCCTCACAGGAGGCTGCTTATTAAGATAAGAGCCTATGGTTTGAGGGTCAAGGTACTGGTATGGATAGAGGAGTGGCTGACTCGCAGAAGGCAGAGAGTGGGGATTGAGTGATCTTTTATCAGAATGGCAGCTAATGACGAGTGGAATTCCACAGAGGTCAGTGTTGGGACCACAGCTATTCACATGATATATTAATGATCTGGACAGAGGAACTGAGAGCATTGGTGCATTGTTTGTGGATGTCACATAGATAGGTGAAGGAACAGGTAGTGTTGAGGAGGTGGGGAGGCTGCAGAAGGATTTGGACATGTTGGGGGAGTGGGCAAAATGGCAGTAGGTGTGGGAAGGTGTGAGCTTATGCACTTTGGAAGGAAGTTTAGAGGCATTGTCTATTTTCTAAATGGGGAAAGGCTTCAGAAATTTGAATCACAAAGGAACTTGGGAGTCCTAGTTCAGGTTTCTCTTAAGATTAATATTTGGCAGTTAGGGAGGCAAATGCAATGTTAGCATTCATTTTGAGACGGCTAACATACAAGCGAGTGTACTGTTGAGGTTGTATAAAGTTCTGGTCAGACAGCATTAGAAATATTCTGAGCAGTTTAAGGCCCTGTATCTAAGGAAGGATGTGGTGGAGGGAGTCCAGAGGAGTTTTACAAGAATGACCCAGGAGTGAAGAGCTTGTCATATGAGTAGCAATTGAGGACTCTGGCTCTGTACCCAATCAAGTTTGGAAGGACAAGAGGGCATCTGATTAAAATTTACAGAGCACTGAGAAACCTGGAGAAGGTGAAAATGGAGAAGATATTTCCACTAGTAGGAGACACTAAGACCTAAG